GATATAGGTTGTAATGTGAACGGGGTATGACGAACTGTTGGCTTAGAGTCTGGAACGTGCAAAAATTGGTCAACTTCAAATTGGTGTATTTCTGTTAAAAATGCATAAAAACCTGAAAGGCTGCATTTGGAAGTTGAGTTTATATACAATGGTTGCTATGATGAGTTTTCACCGTTTGCTCTCCAGTTTTCAAAATGACGTCCAAGCTAGAGGAGCAGTGTGTCAAAATTTTGCTCACGCAGCAAGAGAATCCGACGTTCTCACACGCCAAGTTGGCAAAAAAATGTGTTCGGGGAGCGTCTGTCGACCGCCAGGAAGCCTGGAAGCGGCGGCAATCGTAATCCAGACGTGGCAGTGACGACGAAGAAGGTGGCGGTGAAATATAAGTGAAATCCTAACCTTTCCATCCGGGACGTCACTGGCAAGTTAAATGTCTCCCATACTACTGTGCAGCGGGCCAAGAAACGAGCCGGGTTGTCGACGTTTAAGAAGGTGAAGGTGGCTAACAGAGATTACAAACAAAACACGTCGGAAAAGCAGCGGTCCCGAAAACTGTATACGAATCTGCTCACAAAGTTTGACTGTGTCGTCATGGACGACGAAACTTATGTGAAGTCGGATTTCAAGCAGCTTCCGGGACAGGAGTTTTATAACGCATCAGGAAAAGGGAAGGTGGCTGAAATTTGCAAAACCATCAAACTATCGTAGTGCCCGAAAAAAATATCTCGTCTGGCAGGTCATATGCACGTGTGGTCTAAAAAGCGGCATTTTCATTCCTACGGGAACCATCAATCAAGAGATCTACGTCCAGGAGTGCCTGGAAAAGCGGCTGCTACCATTCCACTGCCACTATGGGTTAAAATGCAATCGAGTGGTACGATGCGAACAACGTGGTTTTGATACCCAAAGACCACAACCCTCCCAACAGCCCAAAACTCCGTCCTATCGAACGGTATTGGGCCTTGGTCAAACGGAATCTCAAAAAAATTTAATAAATAAATGGAAAACGAGCAGCAGTTTTAATCTAACTGGCGTTCGGCGGCGTTGGTCGGATATTCCGGATATCCAGGGACCCCGCGATGACAGAATCGATATGATGATAGCATATTTTATCTATGCTCATGATTGAATGAAATTTAGAAAAAATCGCGAATCCGCAGAACTACTTTTAAGAATTGATTATTTTCCCGGTGAATCTGGATATCCAGAAGGGCGTTCAATAACCACTGTGGGACCAAATCATATGGCACTGAGATATATCTTCTAAAATAAGGGTTCTTCACATTTTCTAAAAACTCACGGAGCTCTAGGTCTACTTTTAAGAATTGACTATTTTCCCGACGATTCCGGGTATACAGAGGACTGTATTCTGGCCACCCGGTAGCAGAATCTATATTTTGAGGTCATATTTCCTCTATGCTAATGATTATATGCAAGTTAGAAAAAAATCGCGGATCGCTAGGTCTACTTTCTTGAATGGACTATTATCCCGGTAGTTCCGGATATCCAGAGGACCGTTTTCTGGCCACCTGTTTGCAGAATCGCTATGGTGATAGTATATTTCCTCTATGCTCATGATTGTATGCAATTTAGAAAAAAATCGCGCAGCTTTAGGTCTACTTTTAAGAAATTACTATATCCCCGGTGAATCCGGATATCCAGAAGAGCAGGGAGTTAAATAATAAATAATAATAATAAATAATTACCGGATGATCAAATCAATATGGCATTGAGATGAATCTTCTCAACTAAGGGTTCTTCACATTTTCTAAAAAATCACGGATCTCCAGGTCTACTTTTAAGAAGTGACTAATTTCCCGGTGATTCCGAATATCTAGAGGACCGTATTCTGGCCTCTTGGATGCAAAATCGATATGGTGATGGTATATTTCATCTATGCTCATGATTGTATGCAATTTAGAAAAAAATCGCGGATCTCTAGGTTTACTTTCAGGTATTGACCATTTTCCCGGTGAATCCGAATTTCCACATAGCCACCTTTCACGGGTTTTATCGTTCCGATTGGCCACCCACAACTCCAATCGGTTCTTTGTCTGTTCCGGTTGAAAGTAAATAGTCATACCTTTCAAGTAGTGGAATCTTAAGATGTGGTAACCAAATTGCCGAGAACCAGTTATGTCAACATGACATTTTGCTCGGGACTTTTCCGGGTTTTTCCGTTCATCCTGGCCAACCACAGGTCCAATTGAATGTCTACCTATTGCAAGCAAAAGAAGATAGCCATACCTTTTGAATGATGGGTGAATCATAACGATTGGTCATTGCATTGTTGAGAACCAGCCATGTCTCGACACGCATTTTGCAGCCTTGGGGTTATGTCAGTTTATTAACATCCATTCTTCTCAAATACAAAAGAGCGCTACAAAGTCTTAGCGTATCCTAGGACTCTAGGATCTCTATTAAATCCAACGGTACCTTCACACTTAGAAATAACTAACTTTACACGTGATGGAATCAATCTTTGACATAAAAGATGAGACGTAAACATGTCATGTAATATTAAGTGCTTCGAGACTGAAAAGTACTAGTTATGACTCAAATTTATGTCAAAATTGACGCTCGTATATGTCACTCTCATAGCACCTAAATTTACATGAATTTTTCTAAGTGTGTATGGAAAGGTAAATTAATTTAGAAGTCATCTTTGATAGAAACATTCAATTTTATGATCAAACCCGTTCGAAAAAGAGAGACCAAAGCTGTGTTCCATTTGGTGAATTTTCACTAAAATTTGACACTTCGGAAATAAATTACAATGTTCGATAATCTCTCTGTTGTTGGTCGTTCGATTTTAGAGAAGGTGTTTGTCAAAATTGATTCCTGGACCTTCAGAAATAAGTCTTGTACAATAGCAGGCTTATCTGAAAATTTTCCATCTGTCAAATTTAAGAGAAAATTCACCAAATAGAGCACAGCCTAATTGCGAGTTGGGCTTTTTATGACGTAAACTAGATCTTAACCCTATGCACACGCTGACTGGACCCATAACCGTCGCGTGCATTTCCAGAACTAGACAACATTTATTGGACGGCATCCTTTGTGCAATCCCGTAAAAAGCCTCAGCCAACTGTGTTCGATCCGTACCACCTGTTCTGCTGGGTAGGAAATTCTCGTGAGAGTAGATTTTTTTCTCACCTAGCTATCAGCCTCCTTAGATTGTTGTGTATCGAGGCACGCGGAAAGCCGATCTACGAGTCCTCGTGGCACACGGCACGAGAGATACCCTGCAAGCTCCGCGCGCGCCGTTCTGTTCTGATCTCTTGCACTCTCTGTCTGTACCGCTTCTGATGATCAACTGGCGCGAGGGGTGCACAGTGGGGTGAGTCCTAGCAAAACCTGGACAAAATTCGGAAATACCTTTTTTTCGATCAATTTCAATTTGCCTTTTAAACGTAAGTGTTAACGTTTGTTTTTGTAACCTGGCTCGGGTTGAGGTTCGCACTGACAATAAGCTCCGGTTCGCACGGGTTGGAACTGGTTCCAACTTGGTTAATAAACAAATTCGCTATAAGGCTGTGTTCCTTTTGATAATTTTTCACTTAAAGTTGACACTTCGAAAATAAATTAAAATGTTTGAAAATCTGTTGTTGATCGGCCGATTTTCGAGAAGCTTTCTGTCAAAATTGATTCCATGGCTGTTAGGAATAAGTCTGCTGAAATAGAAGGTTTATTTGAAAATTTTCCATCTGTCAAATTTAAGTGGAACACAGCCTAAGAACCAGTTTTAGCCAAATTGGCTAGATTCGAAAATAATATCAGAACAGATACCCATAAAGAAGAGGTAAACATCTATTTCGAGTGAAAAAATCATTCTTCGACATTTGTATTACCATAATTTGTATAAACTAGTTAATACTGATATTCAAAGCCTATTTTGATGCCACGCTTGATTTTCACTAGATTTCGAAAGTTTCCGAATCATACACAATTAGATTTTTTTTGCCGAGATGGGTATCACTGAGTAGCTCGGCATTTTATTTTGCTGGATCTCAGTGAAAATCTTGCCGAGTTTCAGCAAAATTTATGTTTGTTAGCTGAGATTTTGGTAAAATTCCCGTTTTTTAGCTGAATCTCGGCAAGCTTTACACTGAGATCCAGCAAAATAAAATGCCAAGCTGCTCGGTGGTGCAAATCTCGGCAAAAAAATCTAAGTGTATAGGGACGTGATTTTTTCAAATATTTTGACAGAGTCTAAGTTGGATGTTTATGTTTGTAATTCATGATTGAAAAAAATGATAAAAAAAGCCTTTTCTATTAAATTTTATCGATCGAAAATATGGTGAAAAAGCTTACAATAATTTTTAATTTTGATTTTTGAGCATAATGCACACTTAAAAGAAAAAAAAGAAAGCTATAAATAAACTTTTAAATAGGAGATAATACACATCTATACTCAAAAATAAATGAAATCAAAAAAGCTTAAAAAGTATGCAAATTCCAACTTCACCTTATTGAGTCCAAGCCATGATTACTTCGGCAGTAGTCATGCATGATTAAATTCGAAATAATCTCTTTTGATAAAAATCTATCTTTTCAGTATTAAATTTTATTCTTTAAGAATATTAATATATAATCAAAAATGATTAAAATTCAATCAAAATGATTAAAATAGAATCAAAAATGAATAAAATTTGAATATGAAATTCTACCAAAAATAAATTTTTCCACCGATTGGGCTCAAAACTTGGATTTCCTAACAGAATTTTATGAAGATTATGGGAATACTATCGAGTTATTTGATTATTATTTTAAAGGTTTCCACCCTCGCCCCACTGTGGGAAGGTTGTCGGTGATCGGTCGGTTGATTGGACGGTAGTGGGTACACAATCATATCAAATCATGGGGGTATTCCTCGTTTGCTACTTCCACACGGTCGCACGCTCGTGCAAGGGTTGAGCTTTGCTCTATACAGAATATGCACTGATCTCTCAGGGAGGTACCCGAAGCGATCGCATTCGTGTTGATATATAAGAGCACCCTCGGTGCTGCCATCAGCTTAGTTTGAGTTTGATTACTTCAAACAAGACCAGCCTGATAAGCCACCGAACGGCTAGGTGCTTCTTGTTCTCCGTGGAAGCATTTCAGTGTCCTATCTCCACTAGCCACAGATTGTTGCAGTGCTTTTGGTTCAAATACCCGAAAAAGTGCCTCGAAAAAGTGACGACAGTGTTAGAGTGCCAAAATGCCAACCAACGGAATGTTCGACGTTGCTCTACAGGTCATCGACGACTCCAACGTGTCTAGTGGATCGGACAGTGCTGGTGTGTCTGAAGACGAGGATGTTCAACTGTTTTGCAGTACAGGGAATACAATAGTATCGAAACCGTTGAAAAAATCCGGATCAGCAAAGGTCAAGGATGAAGAACACAGCAAAACCGCCAAAACCAATGCGAAACGATATGTGAGTCTTCCAAATCGTGATCAACACCAGAAATTCTTGACCGACTTCCTATCGGAAGTTCTGAATGGCGCAGTATTCAATGCCACCGAACGGGCCAACAAAGTCCTAAATTGGGTAGATCCGGACCAGCTCAAGCGAACGCTGGACTTGGAACTGAAGGACGAACCCGACTCGGATGAAAAATTACTAGAACTGACCAGAGCCACCATCAAACACTCGGTCAAAACTGGACATCCTTATTTCATGAATCAACTGTTTTCGTCCGTCGATCCGTACGGTTTCGCTGGACAAATCCTGACCGATGCATTGAACCCCAGCGTCTACACATTCGAAGTGTCTCCAGTGTTTGTCCTCATGGAGGAAGTTGTGCTCAAGGAAATGAGATCCATCGTCGGCTATCCAGATGGTGCTGGCGATGGTATTTTTTGTCCTGGCGGATCGATGGCCAACGGTTATTCCATTAGTTGCGCCCGCTTCAAACACATGCCAGATGTCAAGGTGAGTGTGCATTAGAAATAAACTTAGAACAACAATACCCGATGAATGTGCATGCATAGCCTACTGCAATTCCCAATCCTTATGAGAGCAATTTGTGCAATCTATGACTAGTGATCGTTATTAGTTGAGTGAAATTAAATATCGTGAATTTCTAGAACAATTACACAACCAGGTCGAAGTGAAAGCAAAATAAGTGACGGGCTGTTCCGTGGGATAATTAGCGGCGCAAGCCTGGCCTATTACGAGCAACAATTTGGCCTTCGGGTGACTGAATGTGATCCTATAGGTAATTGCAGACACGATAGGAATTTTCCTTTCAACAAAGTAGTCTCATTTACCATCTGGGAGATGAGCAACGCGTGGTTCTGAGAGATTGTTTACCATCATCGTCGGTGGGTGATGGTGTGCGCCGCAGCGTTGCCAAATTGTTCACAAGCCAAATTGTTCGAAGGTTTAAAAAAATCGGTTTTGATCTATTGGCAAATCAAAGTTGGCACTCGTGGAGAATAGAAGAACTATGAGAGTGATGATGGTTTCAGAATTTTCCACGGGGAGGTATACGAATGCAATATTAAAATGCTTTTATTTTGCAAATGGAGCATTTTATTTAAATCTGGTTGCTGCTACAGTTGTAGAAAAGCTGAAATCTATGTCTACACATAAAAATCTGAAAAGAAATTATTTTTTCTATATTATATGTCTATTAAGTGGTCCTCAAGTTTTCTACTAGCGTAGCATTAACCAGATTTAAATAAAATGCTCCATTTGCAAAATAAAAGCATTTTAATATTGCATTCGTATACCTCACCGTGTAAAATTTTGAAACCATCATCACTCTCATAGTTCTTCTATTCTCCACGAGTGCCAACTTTGATTTGCCAATCGGTATCTTACTATTTTAGTCGATTTTTTTAAGGTAAAAAATATAGTTAACTAGAAAAATATCTTTATTTGGAGACCATCTATTGGTATTCCTGATAAAATACAACGATCTAAAATTATTTTAAATTTTTCAAAATATCCTTAACAAATTCAGACAGAAAGGTCAAGATTTTTTTTATGAATTTTGACCTAAACTATCTTAGACTTGTAATAATATACACATTTTCAAAACATTTCATGATCTCCGACAACCTGACTAAACTCTTATATCAAAAAATTTAGACCTGAAAATCAGATATTCAAATCTTGAATTTTTTATCACAATTATTTAAACCATTTAGATACAAAGATTTTCGCGCTCGAAGATTCAACATTTTTTTTTAAATAAATTCAAGGTTGTTTTTCTTGAAACAAATTGTATCACCAGTCGAAATCGAAACCTTACTGCGCTAGTCGGCCGCTCAAACTAAGATGACCTGCGTCGTCAATTTCCACATATCAGGGTCTATGAGCTGAGACTTGAAATATGCATTTAGTAGACCCAGAGATTCTTGGAAATGATTCTGCACCTATCGCTTAGTTGATGGAAGAATTCTCAATTTCTGGGTTCAAAAAACCTTCTGCATTTCTGTGTTAAATTTCAATTTTATGAATCTTTTCATTTCCATTGCACTGAATCCAGTGTGTTTCATTCATTCTATGAAATATTCGATCAAAAATAAAACAGTCCAGCGATTGGTACTGTTTTTTTTTTATTTGAGTTGTGCCCCTTCATTGTGCAAAAATGGGTTTACTTGTTTGAGTTGTGACCATATTGCGTGAAAAAACAACATGCTAAAGGACAACAAAATTACATATTTATAATGGTAACATTGGCAAAACAAATGTGCCTTGAATGCTACTTTATTTTTGACTTTTGTGAAAAAGTAGCAAGGCCATATCTACCTACATATAAATTTCGTTATTTCACGGATTTTAAAATGGGTTTTTGTGGGAAGTAACTTCACACTATTTAATTGCCGTCATTAACAATTAAAATATCAAAAAATAAACATTTCGACTTGTAACAGTGTTGCATGAAACCGATATATTTTAGGGCCTTGTCGTACTCGATCGGTGTGATTCGTTCTAAAGTTCAAGCACGTTTTGGCGATCGACAGCTCTTTGATGTATGGATTTTGATTAAATTTAAACCAACAGATGCATTAGCAATGTTTTGACAACAAATGAGCTAAGTTTAAACCAATTTGGCTCATTGTTTTTCAAGAAATAGCCCTTAAAAAAACAAGCGTTTTACCAAACGTGCTCAAACTTCAACAAACTAAGCCAATTAAATCCAAACCATAATTACTAATATTGAATAGTTGACGTACCCGTAGCCATTCAATCGCATGATGCCCTCTTACAATCATTACTGAGAAACCATTGACTTTACAATGTCTCGGTATAAACTAAAACAATATTTTTACTCCATACGGGATCATAACTCATAAGAAGAAAAATAGGAAAGCAGACACTGCTGAATTTTTATGACAAAATTTTACTATTTTTTTTTTTTCAAAGATTTTTCTTTATGCAAAATATATTTAACTTTAAAATATATTTAACTGTGTATGTACGTGTACTACGTCGATTGGCGAAATAAAGAACTTTGAACTCATTGAAAATTTCAGGAAGATCAGCTTTGAACTCAAAATCGCCGTTAAAGACGGGCCCGGCGTAGCGGTTAGCATCCATGCCTCTCACGCTAATGGCTACGAGTTCAAATCTCATACCCGGACAAGCCACGAATGACCCAAAATGTGTGGAAGTCACAACACACAAAATTCGTCGTTCTTTGAGAAGCTCAAAGGTCAATGTTTTGTGATGGATGACGAGTGATCAAGTTTTAGTGACGGTTGATCCTCCTTATACGATCACGATACTGAGTTGATACGTGTGTGAAAAATCATGCCATTCACCGTTTTCAAGCTGATACATCTGGCAACGCTGGTGTGCGGTGTCTGCAAATAGCGAGACACGCTGTCGACAGCTATTCAATAGGATGCGCGGGTGGTTGGGAAAACTAGAGAATCGTTTTTGGCACAATATCCTGTAGCAAACGAAATTAGCAAAAAGAAAAGAGAAAGCGCAATAACAAAAAAATCTGGTTGTAATTATAGACCGGCTAATGGATGCAGCGCACCACTATTTTCCTAAGGGAAGGCTTAATTTAGTTACCGATGATGAAAGGTTCTGAGAATATGGCTCAAGTTTTAAGAATTCAACTTTTGGACTGTGAAGTACAAACAATTTTCCTAACGGAGCGATAATAAACTATAATTGACAGAGTCATCAATTGCAAATATATTGCAACAGCTCCGCCCTTCGAGGTTCAAAATTGTTCTGCAACAAAAAGAAATTTGGAATAATATCTCTACATCTATGACGCAATAATTTTTCCACTTTCACATTCTGTCACAAGCGACGCTATCGCCCATAATGGGTGCTATTGTTTGTTTGGCAAATTATCTATCTACCCGTTTGTTTACACCGTCCGATGCTAGTTCATTGCACATTACTCATTTTGCGTCCATTTTGGTTTGGCCAATAATATTTGCAAGGCGATCATGACGTCAGCGAATGGGTAACTTTAAATATTATCTTCAAGTTAATGCTTCGTGATTACATCAAGGGGGGAGGTGACTGTCAAATACGAACAATCGTCACCTACACTGAACCAAAACATCCGCCATACTTCGAATGATTATTGCATTGCTCGAGCCCTTTAACAATATGCATTCGAATTTCGGATGATTTTCTTATGGTTGAACTCGTCGTCAGATGATGAACATCCATATGACTGTCATCCAAATACAGGATGATTTTCGTTTGAAAATTAGCTATAAAACATACGGCACTCAGAGGACAAACTTTTAAGAATAGTGTGACATGCAAGTGCTTTTAATTAGATTTATAATTTGATTATCTAGCATTCCATACTGCATAGTCATGAAGCCATTCCATTATAGATACACAAATTTTTCGTGGTGGAGAAAACCTCCTCTACCACGAATTAGCCAAACATTGGTTTTCATCCTTTACCTATGTTCGTAACAGCTCTGATAGCGATGCATATGCTTCCACCTTGTTTGTCAGCTCAGATCAGCAAATGACGTTTGATAGAATTATTTACATCATAGTTTTGAATGATTTGCGTTATGGGGCTGAACCAATACCATATGCATTTTCATTTAGTATGACAGTCATTCTGCAGAGAGCATTACGCATTTCAACTGAAGGCCCTATCCCTTCTCATAACAAGTTTCATCCTGTGTTCGAGAGAAAAATCATCTGATTTCAAAACAACCGTCATCCGGTTGCAGCTATCATTTGAAAAAGCGATTTCGGTGTTTTGTTTTGAATGGTCTGAGGTTTCATTCGATCGGAGGATGATGTTTGTGTACAGTGTAGCTCGCATAACTGGTTCCAAACGACAACAAGCAACGATGGTTTGTTGATGTTTGGAGCCAAATTCACAAATGGAAAATCCATGAGTGTAAGCAGGCGAGGGTCATTGAATTTTCCGTCTCTTTCGTTCTCCGTCTGTTGAAATGGGTGACAGAGTTTGACGTAACACTCTTTCAACCATTTAAAAAGCAGAAGAACGAAAGAGACGACACATTCAGTGGACCTTACCTATTTACATCTCATTGATGGATGATCAGTAGGCCGATTTGACAGCACATCCCGCCCCTGGATTACATACGTAGACGTTTTCCATCGCACTTTTCACGTAACATTTACAGAAAAAAGCTCTCAGTTCAGTAAGCTGCAACCACCGACAGGTGCTTCAACGACACAAGATTATCATGTGGTAGTTACGTTATACTGTCGATAGATTCCATGGTGGTTTCTAGTAACGGCTGCTTGGTAAAATGCACCCCGAGGCAAAATGTCACATATTTTACTTTTTTTTCTAGGATCAGCTTTGTAGTTCAATGTCTCAATAAGCAATGCTGATAGATTGTATATTGATCTATATTGGTTTTTCTTAATTTTTATGATGAATACTGGATTAAATTCCAAAAGTTTTTATTTAGTCCATGGAAGCCTTCAACCGGCTGCATTAATTAGGG